CTTGGTTGGGGGGGCTGTGAAAGAGTCTCCTCAGCCGTGTCCGTGACTTCATACAGCTGTTGTGTTCTCCTTGTAGTAGATTTGGAAGGGCAAAGAACGTTGGTGAGCCTTTACACTGCTGCCTGCTGGGACTGGTCTATGGCTCCTCTTAATTTTGCTGTTTCTTTCCCAGGAACTCCCTGCAGCAAATTCTGCTCCTGTGTACAGGCATTACAGTCATGGTGCTACTCTCGCTCACAACTGAGTGACCTCTGCGCAGACCTCATGATGCCTCCCAGAGCCACCACAGTGACTCTGAGCTGTTACAAAGCAATAAGGAACACTAATGTTACTTCCTCTGTGTGTGCGTGCAGATCTGGCTGCTAGTATGAGAAGCAGGTGAGAAAGAGTTCTGGGTGTGCAGGACTTCATTCTCTGGCTCTCCTATCCCTGTTCTGCTAAAATCCACACATCAGGGCTTCCTTTTATTTTCTCCTTTTTATTATTTTTATGGAGCAAAAGATAAAGTGAGCAGAAATGAACTGAAAACTGCTCCACAGCGAATGGACTATGTTTCATTTGGTTCATTCAGATGGAACCGCATCTCCCAAGCTCTTGTATGAAAACAACAGAGGTGATTCCTGTAGCTGATGAAGAAGGACATTTCCTGCCACTTTGAGGGCTGGAGGCAGAACAGAGATGGCAAAGCAACAATAAACCAACAGCTTTAACCAGAACTCCCTACCCATGAGGAGTTCACGGTGCTACGAGATAGAGGGGAAAGAACCCTTTCTAACTTGATCTCCAGCTTTTAATTGACATCACTTGTTCCTAAAGGTAGTATCAGCCTCAGCAGTCCACATCCTTGGTCTATTTTGTATTTGTTTATGTTAAAATTGAGCCAAAAGCTTGAGGTGCTTTAGGATAGGTCACTACAATTAAATGGCTCAGCTTGGTGATTACTTGCCTCAGCCCTAACCAGTCCAATATCAGCACAGCCTGTGTATCTGAAAAATGGTCAGTAAATGTTTCTTCTGTTGCCACGCTGCCAGCTCCCCTACATCTGGAAGGAAGCTGTTGTGACTGAGCCCCCTCTTCTCACAACCATTAGCTGAATGTGTCTGAGCCTGTTTTCACCCACCATCTACCCCACACCATGTTTCAAAGCTCTCTTTTGGTGTGGCATGTTAGCCCTGCCTGGCATGCCACGTGGCAGAGGTCTGGGCATTTGGGGCAATAGTCAAACACTACAGCCCGCTCAGCAGCCAATAGCTTTTCCTTTGTTCAGTGTAGCCTATTTAAGAGCATGCTATCACCAAAAATGTAGATGGTAGCCTATTTCCAGGCTTCTTACCTCACAGTGGAGTTAGTCTGTCTGGGATGAATGGGTAAGAAATAATACAGCTCTTAAAGGAAAGGGCACGGCAGCGAAGAATGCTGGAGGGTGAAATGGGAAGGGTGAAACTGCTGGTGGAAAGATTTGAAAAATGGGGCTGGAAGAGCTTTGTGCTAAAAATGGGTTTAGAAAAGCTTTGTGCTAAGTAGGAGAGAGAGGGTTACAGTAAGTGTGCTTTAAGAAGAGTTTTCTATTGTAGACACTTGGGATAAATTTTTGGGCAATATGAGACCAATAAAAATAAATGACATTTCTAGTGCTTTCCTGCATTCCAGCTCACAGGGTTGAGCAGGCCATCATTCCACAGGGCTGGTTTGTTGCCACAGAGATGTGCACAATTAGTAGATCATCCCTTCTGCAGAGCTTATCTTTGCTTAAGTCTATTTAAAAACAGGTCTAATTGAACTAGCAGAGTCATTGCACACAAAACAGGTGCCAAAATGTGAATTGCACCGACTCAGCTCTGTCCTTAAACAGCTTCTGTAAATCGGCACAGCCCTCCAGTCTGCACAGGGCCTTATCAAGAGGGATCATGCCTTGAGAGGGTGATTTGGGTCAGAGCAACAAGGCAGGTATGCTGCCCACAGCAGAGCCATTTACTTCCTGAGGAGATTCCTGAACTGTTGACACGGTTCTTTTTTTATGACAGCCCCTGTCCTAGTTTTCAGGGAGCGCAGGAGAGCTCCTGCTCGCAGCGCTCTCTGCCCAGGAACTGCTGCCTGTAGTGTTTTCACCTTTCCTTACCCCGAGCTTACACCAGTAACTTGTTTCACTGCAATGATGAGGGAGGATTAGTGTAATGTTATTATTCCTCTTTAAAAGTTGCCTGCCTTTGCCAACTTCTCCTTCCAGCCTGAAGGTAGCATCCGCTTCCTGCTTTCCTGGAAGGATTAATCTTGATTAGCCCACGGGGACTGGGGGAATATGCTAACCCCATAGTTCTAGCTTTGGGGGTGTCCCTTCAGCTCAGCTCAATGGACCTTGTAGTAGGGCTCTGGAGGAAGGAGGTTTGCACAGAAAGACGTGCCTGCTGTTTCCCGAGATGAGGCTGGCATTTAAGTTGAGGCATTGCCAGGTGAGTGCCCATGAGTTGGTGTTACTGCATCAGCACTGAGCCTTGCCAGGACTGAAAACCACAGTCAGTGCTCAGCGTTCAGGAATGTGAAGTGGATGACACTGAAGAAAGAATTTCTGAGTTGTTTTTCTTGGCTGCTGCGACAGACCTGGACAGTCTGCGGTTCTTGGGAAGATTCCTGGGTAGCACAGGGCTTGTGGGAGGGAGGGGCTCCTTAGGTTTCCACTACATCAGCCCTGGGGCTGGGGATGAAGAGCCTTGGGAGGAAATGGAGCATCACTCCACCACATTTGTCACTTTTGGAAATGCAGAGAGAATTGTATTTTCTAGCTCTATTTTTTCAGCTGCTCTTATGCATTTTCTCCCCTTCATCTGTATTGGTCTGCTCTGCATGGAGACAATAGAGATGAAATAAATGGTTTTCCATGTGGGTTTGTGGTTTTCTGTTTCCTTTTTTCTTTTGTTTAAGCTTCTACTTTTCTTTGAATTACAAATTCAATTCAAATTTCATCTGAATTAGAGTATCTCTGGGTTAGTCTAGAGAAGTCTGGGCTCTGCCTTGCCCTCCTTTCTATTCCTCAGACTTTCACAACTGAAAGAAAAAGTTCTAATCCAGTTTCCTGTTCCTGCTGCTGTGGCACCGAGAGCCAGGAGTAGTGTGGTCTCATTCTAATTCTTGGCCGCTAGTCTGGGTTCCCTGAAAAGCAGCACCAAGTGAGTTGCTCCTCTTTGAGGGGAGAGGTTGCATGGTGATTGTCTGGAGTTTTGCAACCATACTTTGTTATGATCAGTTATTTTCTTAATCTAAACTACTCTATCTGGTATCATAGAATCACAGAATGGTTTGGGTTGGAAAGGACCTTAAGATCATCTAGTTCCAGCCCCCTGCCACGGGCAGTTAACACTAAGCTGGTTACCTGCCGTGTGGGATAAAGGCACGTTCATCAAATGTTCTGTGTAGCCCAGGAAGAACTGAAAGGATTTTCTTTACCCTTCAAAAATGGATTCAAAGCATGTCTTATCCCACCCTTCATTTGGAAGATTTTCAGCCTATAAATACTGAATGATACTACATGGCTCTTGGTTCTTACCAGAAGTCAAGAAGAAGGAAACCCAAGATCTGGAAGATGAAGGCAGGTAGGTGATCAAGGGCACGATTTCACCATCTGGGGATTTTGCCAGCCATCTACATTTTGGAATCTTTGTCCCTGGCTTTGCCATGCTCTACTCTTTGGCTGTGCTGGTACCTCTGCTTGTAGGGGTGTGCTGTGAGCCTCCCTCCCCCATCCCTTTTTCCTTCTCAAAAGCAATCAGAATTAGCATGGATTAATCAGCTGCCTGGTTTACAGGCTCTACAAAGAGTGGCTCTGACACAACTGCAGTAGCACAGAGGGGAGAACAAGTGGAAGGAGTCTCGTACATGAGAACGTTGTAGGGTGATTATCTTGCTGAAGCCTCTGTCTTCCGAAACTATAGCCTGAGGAACTAGTAGGGTGTAACAATAGGATTGCAGATTTAGGAAGCATGAACATTGGGATTTTTCCAGGATTGAGCTGTTATAATGGAAGGATTTGTCCATGTTATCTAGAAGAGTGATTGTATGTGATTATTTTTTTCCATTCTTGATGTAGAAGACAATTTAGCTGGTATGTGTAAGAAAATCCTTTTGACAGCAGCTCTTTTCAGTTTGTCTGCCTTGAAGGCACTAATGTGCAGCTGCATGGATGGTAATCTCATCTGTCCAGTGCAAACTGCTAAAGAGGATCATGCTGAAATGTGGTTAAAACAAGCTTTATCTGTGGTTCCTGCACATTTCCACCAGGCTTAGTGCTCTGGGGAGAGTAGAAGTACTCTGCTCTGGACAGGGTCCCTGAAGAAGGGCTGGGGAGAGGGCATTTAGGTTGTACTTGGTGTGGCTGAGAGACCAAGAAGTGACAAGGTGTGTGTGTAGATTCTTAATCTACGATTGAACAGTTGCTCTTTTCCTGGGAAACAATTTAAAGTACTTTTAACAGATAAAACTAAGGAGGGGAACTTTACAAGGGCGTGTAGTGACAGGACAAAGGGGGGATGGATTTAAGCTGGCCTAAGGGATGGTTAGATATTAGGAAAGAATTCTTTACTATGAGGGTGCTGAGGCACAGGGTGCCCAGAGAAGCTGTGGCTGCCCCATCCCTGGCAGTGTTCAAGGCCAGGTTGGACACAGGGGCTTGGAGCAACCTGCTCTAGTGGAAGATGTCCCTGCCCTTGGCAGGGGTTGGAACTGGATGAGCTTTAAGCTCCCTTCCAACCCAAACCATTCTATGAATCATAGAAATCAGAAATAGAATCATAGAAATCATGGTTCCATGATTTTAAAACTGCACATTGAATTTGTAATTTAGACTTAACTGCACGACTGGATCATTTTATCCAGAGGCCAGAAGTGAACAGACACTGACCTAACAACTGCCTTTGGGGACTGATAGTGCTGCAGCTGGAGGAACAAGCCCCATAGAACAAGCAGGATCAAAAAGGATTTTGTGTCCTTGGAAATGCTGCGTTTATCTAATGACTGCACAAACCCGACTGACATTTTTCAGCTCTTCGGGCCTTATTTTCCAATAACCGATAAGGAAGGGTCGAGGGGAAATCAGGATCCCAATGCCAACCAATGCCGCTGTCGGTGCGCTCGTTTCACCCACGGCTCGGCCCCGTGCTGCCTGTCAGGGCCGAGCACGGGGTAAGAGGGGGCCG